GTGAATGGGCAGCAGATAGCGGTAGAATGTCAATGCACAGTAGAAGTGTTTCAGAGCCTGACATTGGGAGAACTCCAAGACAGGTGTCTTATCCTGTTTCTCTGTAAATATTACATTTGACTGGATCTATCTAATCTGGTTTGAAAAGATAGTTTGTTATGTATTTGTGTAGGATCACGTTGACTCGTCAAAGGAAGCAAGCTCAAGTAACACAGGAAGCAATGCATCAGGAGCTGGAGGGACATCACGCTTTCGTCGCTTTAGCTTTGGCTCCCAGCTTCTCCAGAAAACTGTTGGATTAGTCCTCAAACCTCGTCAAGGCCGCCAGGTAGATTATTTATTTTTCTCCACTGTCATTTTCTAGATTGTGGTCTTCATAAAGTTTGATGTCGATACTTGTTTCCATTTGTCTTGATTCCTTGCAGGCAAAATTGGGTGAAACGAATAAATTTTATTATGATGAAAAACTTAAAAGATGGGTAGAGGAAGGGGCTGAACTTCCTGCTGAGGAACCGGCCTTTGCACCTCCACCAACCACTGCAGTTTTCCAGAATGGAGCACCAGATTATAACTTGAAGAATGTATTAAAAAGTGAAAGTTCTATATGCAACAATGGATTTCCGGAAATGAAGAGTCCAACTTCTGCTGATAATGGTTCGGGAATCCCACCTCTTCCGCCTACCTCCAACCAATTCTCGGCTCGTAGTCGTGTGGGTGTCCGGTCAAGGCAAGTGATATTGGCTTATTAATTATCTTTGGATGATATGTTTGGACCTTTGGTGGCTTAGGCACAACAGCTCTTGTTTGTTTTCTTGGTCTGATTCTGAAATAGGATGTTTAATTGTTAAGAATATACTTGATAAGTCCTATGCATCAAACTAACATTTTTAGTGTAGTATACATCACCTGATAAGACATTGATCCAAAAGGCACTATCGAGCATTTGTTTCTTCTGTCTATTAGTTATGGTGGCACCATGATCAAATTGAGTTGACATGCTTATTTGAAAACATAATAATTAATCCTTATCACTGAAAATGATGCAGAAGGAATTCTTTCAAAGGTTTCAACAGGGAAACTTGACTGGCTTCTCTTCCTTCTTTTGGCAGGTATGTTGACACATTCAACAAAGGTGGTGGTAATCCAACAAATCTTTTCCAATCACCTTCTGTTCCTTCCATAATGCCTGCTACTGCTGGCAATGCCAAGTTTTTTGTTCCCACCCCAATGTCTCCTGTTGAAGAGACGGGGAACAGTACTTCCAATGAGCAAGAAACTTCAAGTAATAGCGAGAATGATTCAGTCACTACTGTTAATCAAGTGCGCCTATGCAAAGATTTGCAAGCATGGACAACCTCTCAAATAAAGGAGCTGGCACTGGCTCTCTATCAGCTTACTCCCGGCGAACTGCATCATGGAGTGGAAGCTTTCCTGATGCTTCCTCCCCTAATAAATCTGAAGTAAAACCACCAGGCAGTAGATTGAGTATGCCTCCGTCATCATTCATGCCTAGTGATACTAATGGCAGTTTTGGTGATGACCTTCATGAAGTAGACCTGTGACACAATAAGATGTATATACTAAGTTTTGCTCGTCTTCGTGGTATCCTGCTCAAAATCTCTTCACTTTTATTGGTAAGCAGTGAAGTGTGATCGAGGAAGCTGGAAACCCTTTCCTCTCCCCCCTTTCTCACACCCTCAATATACCTTTTTCTCCTCTCTTTTTATTTACCTACTTTTTGTAAGATCAGTTGTATGTTGAAAGCAATAGCTTATTTAGCTGTTTACCTGTAGGTATAGGTTTTTATTTCTTGTTCTTTTTTCTTTTTGTACTTCTAACACCTGTCATTTCAGAGACTTGTTATAACACAAGGAAAGTGGCCTGAGATAACATTGTACAGTTGATTTGTTCATTTATTGAGGAAAGGAACTCTCATTTGATAAATTTTGAATTGAAGTATGTTATATCTCTACAGAAGAGAACTGTAGCAGCTTAAGAAAATATGTTGATCTTTCTTTCTGATATTCAATGTATAAATGAATTGAGACACTGCATATTAGTTAGCTTTCTAGTTGCATATTAGTTTCTTTTAACTTATGTGATGCCTTGAGAGTGATTGTAAAGACGTTTGTGAAGTAAAAGGGAAAAGAACATAAAGCTAGTTTGAACTCAAAATTTATGTTACCATCTGTAATATCAAAATCAATACATATTACATTTAGTATAAACTACTTGACCGAAAATAAAAAATAAAAAAATGTTGCCAATGTCTTCGCAAGTCTTGAGAACATCCTTGTACAAAATTTACTAGTGTACCTTTTCTAGTGTGTATTATTTTAGATTCAAAACAGTGCAAGATTTTGAAACATCCCTTGTGTCTCTTGTAACAGCTGCCGTGGCGCATAGTGGCAATTCAGTGGCTGAAAATGGCAATTCAATTCCTTCTCTCTCTCTGCCATTTCATTAAACAATTTCTTTCCAATCTCAAACGACACAAAAGCATCAATAGCACCATATTCAACTTGTTCATAGCTCAAATTCTCAGCATCCCTCTTACTCAAAGTAACATTCTCTGGCTTTTCCCTTACTTTCCCAAGTACTGCTTTTGCCATTCTCTTCAACCCCATCTTTCCATACACATATTCTCCATAATACAACAATGCAAGTCGGTTCAAATCCACAGTATTCGCCACAAAAAGCCCGTGATCACACATCAA